TTTTTTTTTTGTATTGTAAAAACATTTATTTTTAACAATTTACCTACATTAATCAAAAAAGTACAGCATATTTAATAATTTTACAAATTCTTCATAAAAAATATATCTCTGTACAAAAAGTTCTTTTGCACCTACTTCATGTCACAGCAGCATGTAGTGAAATGGCAGGATGAAATAGTGGGAATGAAAATTAGATTGACTTGATCATAATGCCGGCGTTCTTCCCCAATGCCCCCTCCCTCACCCTCCCGTTTATTTTTTTTTTTTTTTAATAACAGCTTTTTTTGTTTACAAAATATTTTACACACAAAAAAAAATTATTGCAGCTAGCCTGGAGAAAGGCAAGATGTGTGATACAAGCAGCAGTTTTTAACAGCTTTGAAGCACATAACCTGTTTTTTTTTAAAAAAATATATAGCATGTATTATTAGCCCGTCATAATGATCTGGTCAACTCTGGGGGAAAAAGTCTTCTGCATGTATCTCAAAAAGGAGATTTCCTGGCTGCCATTACCCAGCCACTGCACATCATTTTAAGAGTCTCATTCTAATGAAGCACCATGTATGCAAACACAGCCCTCTGCATAATGAGTTCAGGAGAAAGGGATTCAACCTCAGCAGAAGACTCAAACAGGGAGAAGCATTTGAAGGGTGTGGACAGAACCGATGAAACTACGAGAGTTTTGTTTTACTTGGGTTCCAGTCTGAAGCTCCTGTTTAATCATTATTCCAAGCAAATTTGTTAGGATAATTTGTCAGTGTGCCCCTATTTTGAGTGTCCCTGATTAAAGAACACTTAGGATAAGTAATCCTTACATAACCTCCCCAAAATGAACCACTGCATAAAGGAGTCATGGGATCTGCACTCTCTAACATAAAAGATTGAATATTTTAACTATTCTTTTTTCTGGCATCTGTCCTACAACACATTCTTTGGTGGTGAGACAGGGCACTGAAGAATATGCTGTAAGGACAGGAGTAGAAAACATCAATAATAGCTACGTATCTTGTTTTCAAAACTCCACTTTTTTTTTTTTTTTTCTGTTGTTGCCGCTACAGGAAGACCTCCAAAGCAGTAATGTCAATTTTGAACACCTGTTAGAAACTTTAATCACACAATAGCTTCCCTTCCTGGACCACTGTTCCTACAGAAGCTCTTCATTTGTCGAGCAAATTCCTCTACATGAGGGAGGATCAGGACAACAAATTCATCTGATGACTTCGTTTTTTCTCAGGAAATGTGAAGGGCTCTGAGATGGGAGAGAGAAATTAAACTTACTGCACAATCTCAGAATCAAAGAAGAATGCCAAAAACTACTAACAAAATGAACAAGGAACTGACTGGAAAGGATTATTTATTAAATTTTCTTCAGAGTTTCTTGCTCATATGAAGAATATAACAGCTGGAGACCCTACAATGCTGTATTATATTGCTGGTATTTTTCATCTAACAGATGTAGTTGTTAAGCTGACCAAGGGTTACCTTTGAAATTTTCTTTGGGTTCTGCAACATTAGCTGAAACTTGTTACTGGGCTTATATTACCTTTTTGTTTTGTATATAAGAGCCAGACTTACACATATAAGGAGTTCAAAAACATTTTTCTACAGTTTTTGATAGGAAATGGACATTAGGACAGTTTGAAATTCAGAAAACTAAAACAAAATGATAGCATCAAAAACCAACCCTGAATTGTAAGAAAAGAAAAGGAACTTTTCTGGTTTTTGAGCTCAATGAGTATGAATGAAACCAGAATTTGCTCCATCATTTCCTGTAATTTCCTAATTTTAAAACTCAATTTAATTAATATGCCCTATGGCACCTTGTTTGTTGGTTTGTTTTCATTCAGTAAACCCTCTAATTCTAAGAAAATGTTAATGATTTACTCAGCCTTCATATTTATAAATGTCTCTGTTAAACTGTATAAGTACAAAAGCAGTAAGCGGTGTGTTTAAAAAATCTCAAAAGAAACACGAAAGATAGTTGAATATTTCTCTTTGTTCAGTGTAGAAACTGAATGACAGCTTGTTATAGACCATTTGCACTGGGTTTATATATGCTACTGTAATGTGGTTTAGTTCCATGTAACATCAGAAAATGATGTCATATTACAGGAAAAAAATGGAAAAAAATGCAAAAGGGAAGACTGTATTATGAGCACAGGCTCACAGGCTTTTATGAGCTATCTAAAATAAATTACTATTCACATTTGTACATGGCAAGCAGCAATAGCTGCTAACCCCCCTGCTGTTAAATAGTATGATACTGACAATGGTGATTGATGACTGATTGCAGAAGAAAACAATAGTGGCAATGAAAATTTCTTAGAAATGGGCTCTTGTTCTAGCTGAAAGTCTCCGTTGACTTGCTTTCAGGTTTATAATGAAATTTAGTAAAAAATTGACAAAAGAAATATTATTGTCTATCGCACAAGATTTTAACTGGTGCTAAGCATAGGGCTCATAATTTAATATTCCAAGTAAATTTTGTGTGGAATGTTTTGCTTAGCAAAGAGTGAGTGAATGTCTATATACAATGGACAGTGTAGAAACCCTGTATATTTTTACCAGTATCTTACTCAGTCAGCCATAACACCCTAGTGCAAAAATATTGTGCATTAACATTTTGCTGTATTAATGGCTGATTGGGAAATTGACAAAACTGCCCTAGGAATGAAATACACTCTAAGGTTCCTTAATTTTTTTCAAGATTTCAACGGTAAAGCATTTTCAGATGTATGCAACCTCAAGGAAGGCTGTTTCCTTCTTCAGGAGAGCTTTATTTCTTCAGAATATTCCTGGGGATAATCTGTGGTGCTATCATTTGTCACAGTACTCAAAGAATTTATCCAAGTGCCCAGAAGAACGCATTGGAAGGCACCCAGCCACATACAAATATGAAAGTCTGAGGCATCAAATATGACAAAGTGGCATGATTCGGCAGTCTTCCTTAGAGTGTGCCTTGATTTGAAGCAGATGCAGCCAGGCATTTTGATCCAACTTTAAGATGAAAAAATATTCTTTGTCTGATCCCCCGAAGACTGACATGTTTTTACCAGAAAATTTAGCTGCATGTAGGCTGACAGAAGATGTTAAAGATTACAGCAGCAAAGCCGAGAGAAGAAGGGAAACTGGTATATGGCACCAAAGGAATTACTGCTTGTCCATCAGAGGTATGGCTATGAATCAGTCATATTGGGCACTGAAGGCTATACCACTGTACAAACTGTGTTCAGAGTCGTATCAAACCTCACAGCCTTTGCCTCTGTGGGTTTTAAGTTTGTGTCATACATGGGATTTTCAAATGAGGCCTGTCCATTACTGTTTTCGTGTCCAGCATACCCATTGTACTGTACTTTTGGTCTTGTTCTGGGGAAAAAAAAAGATGGGAAATTATCATTAGTAACCCTTGAAAATAAACATTCTAATATTTCCATTCCATCTACATATGAAAGCAAGTGTCCAAAATATCTTGCACTGCTAGTGGTAGTAACCTTCAGATAAGTGTCAGCAATTTCAGTTACTCCAGACAGAACTCTCATAGCATGTCTGCCTTACTCCATAAATGCTGCCAACAATAAACACCATTAAATACCTTGTCCAAATGTAATCAGATTGATCAAATCCTAACTAATACTCACATAAATTTTGACAAGTCAGCATCAAATGATACTGAAAGGAACCACACTTTTATTTTTAATAGTCTTTTCTCACTATGAAGGAGATACCAAAACTTCAAGGGCATTCACATTTTTATGCAAAGCTCTGTTAGAACATATTAAGCCAATAATTAAATGAAAATTAAACCAGAATGGTGTGAACTTTATGATATATATCCAATAAAATGATATCCTATGATGCCATATTTTACTATTTTAACCTTAACTCTTTTAGCATCTACAAGTATATAATAAGGAGGTTCAGTATATCAGTTTGTATATCTAATTGAAATAAGGCAAGAAAGGAAATGAAGGAGTATAAAAGTAAGTGCTCAGTGCTTAATAAATGTAAAATAATCTAGAAAAGAATATTACTATAAAACTTCAGAAAACAAGTTCTTGAAAATCAAACTTTTTTTAGAAAACTCTTCTGTTTTGGATAGCAGATAGGGAAAGCTATTACTGAAATATGTCAGTAATGGAAATTGACAATATACCAATAGTTCTATTATTCATAATATGTTTATTTCTGCATGTTTGATTTTATAATTACAAAAGCATCTTAGAAAACTTAACTGGGAGCTTTCCTAAGTGTAAGTAATTAAATATATTTTAATTTTGTTCAGAAAGGCTTAGATGCTGTGTTCATTGATGAAGCAATCCTTGCCTGTCAGATAAAAGGTGTAGAAACTGTGTAAAAAAGGTTTAACAAGCCCAGTTCTAATTAAATGATATTAATCTGACGTAGGCACAGCAGAAACATTCATAAAATCCCCTAAGAAGACCTTCAAATTCTCTGATATAGAAAGCCTCTAGGGGCATAACTACTATCACATCATTTTGAAAATTTCATGGTGTTACTCTGGTCATTAGGTCATTTCAAGAAAGTCCCTTCAAAACTCACAAATTCTGTTCTCTTTCCATTGGGACATCCTTAGTTTTGAAAAGAATAAAGCTGACCTAAAATTACTTTACATCACTATTCAACGTGTAATTTTCTGATGGCAATGTAACACTGATATCCCCTCTAAAAACTGTGGTTTAATGGAAGAAATTAATTGAAAGCAGAAGAAAAGAAATATTCTTTGAAAGATTAGGTTAAGAGGAACATCTCCTTTTTCAAGTATCTAACATATTTATATTAGATTAAGGCAGACAGAACTTCAGTGCTGCACCAGCCACACCATAAACAGAGGGATTACAGCTGCTTGTCTGAAAAATGAGTTTTATCATACATACATATTTCTACTGCTTATGTAGGACATTAAAAATTTCATAGAATAAACCACAAAATGTACCCCTATGTCACAATTTTTTTTTTTTTTTTTGAGTTTGCCTTCTCTTTCAACGGAATATTGTTCCATTTCTTCTCGTGATCTGAATGCCTGTGCATTCAAGCTGCTCTTAAGGCTTCACCCCTCTCCTCTGCAGAACAGGAGCTACCTGAAAATGTAGACCTGTAGGCATCAGAAAGGCATCTTACAACAAGTTTGGAGACATAGCTGACAGTTCTTGCTGAGCAGTTTTTACCAATAAAAGACTATATTACATTTCAGGACATGGATCATTTTAACTGGAGTTCACAAGTTCAAGCCCCATAGCAATTTGTTTTTCCCAAATCATCTAATGCTGAGGCAAGTAGACAGACTACTCCTTCACAGGGCAATGGCAGACTTCAGTTTATCCATGTGATTTCTTGCAACCAGAAAATACCCTTGGTGTTTAAAATCGTGTTCTTGTTAAATACCATTTTGTAAATTGATTTCAGAATGAACAAATGTTCAGGAGATACACAGATACAAGCTTTTAAACCAAATTTCAGACAAGATGATTGGATTTATTCTATTATCTAGTCACATAAAACTTTAATATGAACTGAAGTGGTGCCAATTCTAATAGCATCCACAAGCTGACTCAGCACATACTATAAGTAGTCTCATTATGGGCTGTTCCCTCATGGGATTTATAGATTTTTCACCTTGTATAATTAATACTCTGAAGCATTTTGAAAGAAGCAGCATATATTCAATTTAATAAAGCACTAAAATGAAAAAATGGAACATGTGACCTGAGAATTCAATCTGGTTCAGCCTAATGAACCAAGAAGGTTCATACTTCTTTGCTCCTTAACAGAGTGACTCCTTTTTCAGAATTTTCACCATTAAGAACTGCCCTGTGCCGAACCCCTTTGTCGGAATATCCATAAATTTTTGTCTTTCTAGACTAAAGGTATTAAAAACTTTAGTATTTGTTCTCTAATTACAGTTACCCACCAAAACTACAAAACCTTATGAAGTTACTGATATACAATATTTACATTACCTGTGTTTGTAGAGGTAAAATGCAAACCCTGATAATATTAGAGCAAAGAATGGTACCAGGATGGCAGCTGCAACCGAACTGCTGTTTGTACCATAATAGTGATTTGAAAGGTCTGTATCTGCACTTAAAGGACCTGAAATGAAACAAAAGGAGAAGAAATAAAATTCCCATGTTATCTAACTATCTCCTTATTCAAGGGTGAAAGAAAATGGTGTCTTTATAAAATGATGCTATTTAAAAACTTTAAATAAATATCATGCAACAGCATAGTAAAAATCTTGTTAATAGCACTTCATAATACATCAGTAACTATCAAAATTCTTTGGAAACAGTATTCAGAGATATTTACAAAGTACGCCTCAGTCAATTTAAGAAAATTAAGCCATATAACGTCTGCAAAATATATTAATACTGCAAAAGTTTTAATTCTATTCCAACGGTCTTAATAATCAGCTTAGAAGCAACAAGCAATGTGAGACCACAACAAATAAGAACAAGGAAGAAAAAACTGAGGTGACCGCAATAAACCACAGTGGTTCTGCTCGGCTCAGTAGCACTCCCAAGTCTGTACACCTGTGTGCACGTCCCTCTGGAAGTTGTGTTTGCACTGGGATAAAACTGAGATGCAGAGAATTCAAACACAGTGGCCCATGGCATGGCCTTGCTGGGTTCCTTTTGTGAATGAGCAGATAAGTTGGACTGCAAGGCCTTCTGCAGAACACATTTTCCATCAGTACAAAGGCATACATTGCTAAATTGCTTAAATAGTTGGCCATCTTAACAATTCAAATTGTGAGATAATGAAAATATATAAAATTTATATAGACAAAAAATATATTTTGAGAGCCAACTCCATGTTGCCAGTTTGAACTCACATTTCTTCAGAAAGAAATAAAGATTCTATCTAAGTAGAAAAGACCAGGATAGAGTTAAAATACAGAGAGGATGTGGCTTATATTATACAGAGACGTCTGTGCTTATATTCTGGGATATATTTGCTGATGATAGTGGAGGAGAATAGGAGACACTGCTGTTTACCTCTTAGATATGCTACAACCCATAAGCACACAGTATTTCAAACACCACAATTACCCCACTGATAGCAACCGCGTCAATCAGTCTTTTTAGGACTCTAGTACAAAGCAGTTTTATAGCAGAGACGTTGTGCTGCTCTCAGCAGTCTACTAAGACAACTAAGTAGAAAAACTGAGAAAGAAAAAACCTGAGAAAAAAGCAACAATTCTTCCATGGGCCCTGGAAGTCTCCAAGGGCAGATTGGATGGGGCCCTGGCAACCTGACCTAGTGAGTGCAGGGGTTTGGAATTAGGTAACATTTAAGGTCACTCTCAACTCAAACCATTCTTTGATTCTATGATTTCTTGCAGTTCAAACTCAATACAAAATACAAATGAAATAAGTTTTTGTTCTGTGAGATATCTTTACACCTTAGATGTTTGAATTATTAATATTATAACATATTTTGTACACATAGTTTTAAAAAATATATTAAATTTTGGGAAGTAATTAAGTTGCCTTTAAAATAAAGTCAACCTCCCTAGGAATTTCAGTGTTGCCAAATTTGACCAGTTAACATGACAAAATACTGTATGACAATCTTTTTCACTGTCTTATGCCTCTGTCACATTTCAGACTTTATATATTTCTCTGCAGAACTGGTGAAAGAAGACATTTTCAAATTAATAAACCTACTGTTGTGGTAGCTGGGTATCATGAACTTTATCACACTACTGTGGAGTATTTAATTACCACTGAACTGGTTTAGAATACAACCAGTGTATTATAAAAATCCTTGGACTTCAGTAATGCAGTATTTGTCCAAAGACTCAAGGTATGGAAAGTATTTTGGCATAAATTTATGCAATAGTATTGCATTGCACATTGCACTGCTCATTCTTCAACCTATCCAAATAAAGTCAGACAAACTAAAGTAGTTACCACAGATAAGAAAAGTTTTAGAAATATTAATTTAAATTTGAATTTTTTATTGGTTAGAAGAAATGAAGACTATGGAAAAAAAACCCCATGCAGTTACCACTTTCTTCATCCTTAACTATCATAATCACCAGCTGTTTTTCCAGTTATTTGGAGTAATTAACAAAAAATATGTTAATGATCAAATGCATTGTAGTCAGCTTATATCAACAAAAATCTGGAATTAATAGTCTAACTTTTATTTAAATTTCAAAACAGAAATACGTGTGATTAATGAAGTCTTAATTGATATCTCAAAACTATTATCATGGAATATACATGATAGATAGAGTTTCATTTATAAGTAGCAGAAAAATTATAAAATATCTAACCAGAATACATCTAAACCAAAACAGTAGTTTGAAATTCATAATAAGCAATTCTTGTTATGAAAGTTTTGATATGTTTAATTATTAAAAATAAATAATTGTGTAACCAAACACTTAAAAGTAGGCACAAACTTAACAGTTAAAAACTTATTTTTAAGTTATCTATTCTTGATTACTGATTCACATTTAATATTTATTACTCAAAACTCCTACTGTAAATAATCAAATATTCTAAATCTCTACAGTTTTTGAAGTACCACATTTAGGGCAACCAAGCTTGAAATTTTTCACTGAAGTCTACAACCCATAATTGGCACTGGAGAAGTTTTGACCAGGTCCAGGCTGTGCATTGGGTGTACTTTTCATTATGAAAAAAACCAACATTGCTGCAATTCTGCATAATTGGAATTTTATTCATGCATGAGATGCATTATAACTTCAAAATGGTCTGGTCTTCCTATTACAACAGTTTTCATAGATGTTAGTGATTAAATACATCCTGATATTAATTTTGTAATTCTTCTGACAGTGTTATCATGATAAGAAATAGGAAAGCCTACTGTACTGCCCAAATCAAGGTATTGATTGCTACACAGCTAAAACTAGGATAGTGGAAGTATCTGCATATACACACAGGAAACAAAAGTGTATGCAAAAGATAATTTGGTTTACTTTTCATTAAAACAGTCATACTTTCTAACTGGGAATTGTGTTATTTATTAGAGGGATATCCAGTAAGATTATAAATGGGGGTTTTAACATTTCACAGAATAACAGGGTGTTTTTTAGCCTCCTAGAACTAGCAGCAACCAGGGGAAACGCAAACTAACACATAATCTCCTAGCTCATTACCCTTAGCCATCTATTTTTGCATTGGCTACCATACAACAGTTTTGTACACTGAAGCTCTGAGTATCCTGTTTAGATGTAGTTTCTTCATGAATGATGGAAGTTGTGTCAGATGATCTGGAGAAGAAGGACGATTTATACAGTGAAATTTAAAATTCACATCTCCTGATTTCAATTCTTTTAAGAACTGATTCATTTCAAGAAATGCCGTGTATTTCACAGCCATTGACCCAATATATCATAGTGCAAATTAATTATCCATATTTCATATTTTTGTCAAAATATGTCATTTCAGTCCAAAAAAACCTAAAAAAGTACCCTGAAGGAAAAAAAAATTAGGAGAAGTGGGTCATTGTCTTGTCATTGTGTTTCTCCAGAGGAAATAAATACAGGAAAATAATAATTTGGTGAAATAAATCTCTGTTTTCACAAAGCCACTTTTTCAAACAATTTTAAGGGACAGTCTAGATTGGAATTAAAAAGATTTTAGAATAAACGTTCTAGAACTGTAGTGTTGAGACTCAGGCACCAAGCAATTGCTGAAAACGAATCTAGCCACAAACTTGTAGCGTTTAGAGACAAAGTTGCTAAAACAAAACAAAACAAAAGCCTCCAGCAATGACTGATAACTTGGTAAAAGAAGTTAAATAATTTGGTGTCACAACTTGGGCCTCTTGGGAAGGCTCAAGTAGAGTTCCAGATCTTTTGATAGACTGATAGCAGAAATCTCTTTGTCCCTATTTTCTAAGGCTACAACCAGAAATGCTTCTTATAGGAAAGAAAGAAAGAGAATGAAAGAGGATGAACTGTACTAAGAAAGAGAAGTTCTTTTTGTTTTCATGCTGTTAAGTTCCAAGACTGAGCATATCCAGTGAGACCAGCCTTTCTTTAGCAAACAGATTGGCCTTTCACACTTAAGCAAGTAGTTCTCAGTAAATGCTTCGAAGTATGGTGCAGGTGAAGAATTGATATTGCTTTATGTATGCACCAGTACATGCACTTTATGTGTATTTCTGGCTTAGTGTAAAGGCAGCAAATAATTTAACTTCCTGAAAAAACAGAAATATGTTAAGTCTTCAGTCAGAGGACATATGGGATCATTACCTCAGCAGAATATCCATGAATAAAATTTAAAAATAAAAGCAAGTTATCCTTGAATATGAGTGGGTATTGACAGATATTATGACCTGTATTGGATGGAAATTTGCTGTTTTCTTTTAGCTGTAATTTCCTCAATAGAGACTAAGCAATTTATTTCTATAAATCAGTGACAAGTTGGCCATCTTGTAAAAGAGATTGTATCTGCATTTGCAGCAAGATGTCTGCTGAGGTGTCAAAGTTGAAGATGAGAGGCATTCAGTCCAGGAATGCACATGTAACTCGGACACTTCATCTACTTATTAACCTTTGAATTACACAAACTGAGCTCTCATATTGCAACACTTCAGGGTTCTATGGACAATGTTTTCCAATTCTGTAACTGTTTAACTCTCATTCTGCTTGTTCTTCATTTAACCTCGAGTTATCAATTTCACATAGAATCAAACTTTTATTAGGTAGTTGGCATAAAATGGATATATTTTTTGACCTGGATTAAGAAAAAGCCCAACACAAATACATACATATATGACAAATAAACCCAACAGGCATATGTTTGAACAAACATTGATGCTCTACTTTTATACTCAGACAACAAAAGCAGCTTAGATACTACACTAATAAGGATTACATGAAAGTACAGGCAGACAAATCATTTGTCTGTCTTACACAAGAGTTTACTCTGAAGACTGGACTTGTATTTGGCTTCCATAACTGGCAGATCTTGGTCTCAGGCTCTGAAGAGACAGGTTTCTGCCCCTTGTGACTAAATATATCTAGCAATCTGAAAGGTGGCCAAGATGAGCATAACACCTATTACAGTAGTTAATAGAGTAAAGAAATACAAGGGAAATTTGACAGAACTCTAAAGGGCATTGGGTACAGCACCAGTGTACATATAGTTTGCTATAGATATATTGGCCAGGGGGTCTCCTCTTCCTAGACCAGTATTTTTCTCTATATATACCATATTTTGACCACTCTGTACTAGTTCCAGGATCAGGAAATGCAGGTGCCTACACAGTATTTGCCAAAAATATCTTAGGAGTTAATATTTAATGAGTAAATGGGGTTTTTTTTAGTTTTTATGAGATTTTTATCTATTTTTATTTTTTTTTATTTATGAAAAAAAATCGGTTTATGAAAAAAATGACTAGTTTTATACCAGTTGCTGGAGCACTTGAACTGTAGCTCTAACACATACCTCAGACACTCACTTCATCTTGCTGACAATGAAGTAGAATTCTGTCCACATGCATATACATTCTGAAAACATCCACCAGCAACAAGTAGTCTCCAAATGACACTATCAAAATTAGGTTTGATTCTGTCCCTTTAATTTCTTAAATGACTTATACATTTGAGCAGCAATTGTGTTTGCATTCCGTGACACCCCTGTTACTTTCAAAAAGATATTCAAAAAAAAGCAAACACATGCAATGGCATTCTCTTTAAGAGCATCCTGTCCTCATGAGGTTGTTGTACTAGAAAACTTCTGATAGTAACATGTTAAGCAAAGTTAAATTAGGATTTGAACTGTAAATTTCAAATATGCATGTTTGGTTAAGTCTTTTATGAGAGTAGTGGCATGAAAGAAATGTGCTCACTTTGGCTAGATAATTGAGTATTTTGTTGAATTCAATCGTGCAAGATCCCAAAAGAGTAGACATATTAAAATTCTATGAAAAATTTTACCTTGTCTTTGGAGCATAAATTTTCCAAAGTCTTTTCCATGTATATCACCTTGGTAGGTAAAAACACCTCTTTCGAGCCCTGAGGATACCTAGAATTTTTTTTTTGAAACAGAAAAAAAAAAGAATTTCTGAAACAAATAAGTAACAATGTTAAACCATTTGTCTTTCTGACTTAGAATACATAATATGGAGTCCAGATTTTCACTTTTAGCCTTTAAAACATTAGTAAATTCTTGATGCTTATACAATATTTATTATTTTTAATTTGCAACAGTATTAAAGTTTCAAAATAACAGCTTGAATGATTTTAAATTATCTGACCTATATTGCTGGGTTTTAAAATTCTTCAAATGCCATACACATAATTTAGTGTACTGATATAGAAGCCTGCTGAATTGTCAGATTTTAAATTACTTTCCATAGAAAGCACCGTGAGGCAGAAAGGAGGAAGGCAACGAGTAAAACAGCACTGGTTTTCTTCAAGATTAGATGTAATTTTATTACAGTGAATTATTTACCAAATCAAAAAAGGACAATATTTCTAAAGGTGAAATTCCCTCTCCCATCCAAGGAAACAAGGCAAAACCATGGCACTGATTCCCTCCACTTTCCCATTCGTAAACTAAAAATTCTAGATGGAGTATGGCAGATAGGATTTCGTATACATATTTTGGAGGAGAAAAGTTAATGTAATGTCTATGCTGACACCTAGAATGCTGTTTTCCATATTTGTAATACAAAAAAAAATAGGTAGAGTTAAATAGGTAATCAGAAATTGCTTCAAAATTTAAACTCAGCAAGATTTATCCTTAGCAATCTGGTTACTTACATAACCATCTAGTGCCCAGTTGTCGTTTTCAAACTTGCTTACAAAAATGTCACTGGGTCCTTTAATCTGAAAAACTTTCAAGAGCAAATGGGCTTCTTCCTTCTTGTAAACACCTATTAATATAAAGGAGGTAAGACATGCATTTGAAATTTTCAACCAGTTTGTTCAAATATCATTTCAAATCTATGTGTATTGCTTTAGAACTAGAATATTTTGTGGAAAAGATTTTGTAATTAAATTTTACAGCATGGAAAACCCCAAGATTTAAGGAGTGGTAATAGCAGGATCTTATTTAACTCATCTTTCATCTCATCATATTCAATAATAGAATGCAAAGACTGGTTTGTACTGTTTAAGTTTTTACATAAAAGAAAACTTGTCAATAATTCTGAATACGGATATAATTCCATGCCTGGAATTTCCTTGAACTATAAAGAAATGGATTTGACTCACATCACAACAGTATAAGTTGTAGCAGATATCAGTAGTGCAGTGAAAGAAAATTTCTTTTTGGCAGCCAACTATGGAAACTCTCTCTGAACTTTTGACCTTAACAGATAGTGATAGCTGATAATGCTCATTTCAATATACCTGTGATGAGAGGCTAAATCTGAACTATATAGTCAGATGTGCAGAAAGGAATGCATGATGTTGATTTAAATGTGTGCATAATTTACAAAGTTATTTAGTTATCCGTACCTATTTTATGCTATGCCATTATTAAGACCAGATTGTTTTAAATGTTAAAAACTATTGATTAACTGAGCTTTTCAATGGAACAGTTATTAAAATGCCTATATACACTTTGTCTGCCACACCAATATTACCTGTGAGTTCAACACATCAATTCTATTCAACAGTCTGAGATGAATAAACCATACTTTGGAATATAAAAGGAAAAATAGAGTGAATATAAATTGACTGAAATCCATGCAGACCATTATGTTAGAACCTTTCCTTTTGCAAAACATACAGAGAAAGATTTTTAGTGCAAGCATAAAATTTTTGTTTTGTTTTTCATTTGGATGAAAATACATAGAAACTGAACATATTAAAAAAATAAACTAAAAGAACACCTTATTTAACACCAAATTCTGAACCTACCTGATAATTTGAGTTGTATGTTGGATGCCTCAATGAATGTGGCATTCACTTTGCTGCTTGTAGTATTGAACCAATCAACAGTGAGAGTAGCAGGCTGCCTTTTTCCTAAATACTCATAAAACCCTTTCCACAGTGAATTTATAAAAAACACATCTGAGGGAACTAAATAAGTGAGAAAAAGAAACAAAGAAAGAAGTAAACTACAACAAAGTAACAATCTTTCTAGCCATACTTATGTTCTTTATTTGTTCTGTTACAGAATCAATCCACTATTCTAAGGAGATCTTATAGTAAAAATTTTACAACAATAAAGATTGTATATCTAATGACCTTTCCAAAGAATTGCATGTGATATACTACACCTTTCCCTCACAGTATACATTCTTAAATAACCTCACACTTCATAGCTTGTGTGATTCAGTGAATGTCCTCAAGATTACAGAAAATAATGGACTCTTCCCCTAAAGCCCTGTAGCCTTAAGGTACGATAAGAAAAAAGAGAATAATATTCTGAAGTCAGGGATTGCTGGAAGGAGACACTCTCTTAGGACATTCCTTTTTTTTCATGAAAAAAAAGCAGCTGTGTGTGATTTTCAACTGAATATCAACTGAATATTCAACTGAATTAACTGAATTTCAAGTACAGTTTTATCAGTCATTTTTCTCCATACAGTATTACTGCACCTGTGAACAGTGAAGTTTTCAGAGAAATTTTTTTTTTCATTTAAAAAAAGATCTGTTTCTTAGCAACTGCAGTTTGAATTATCTGAAAATCCTCTAAAATGAAGTATGAATTATTGGAAAAAGTATATATATTTGGGTAATTTATTTGGCATTATTTGTATCTTTCCTCTACACAAGAAAAATAAATTATTTAGGTATTAAATGTTGTGTTTTGAATATTTGTAATATGTGTCCAAATCACCTACAAAATAGTAAAGGTCTTTCGCTCACCAGTATCTGTAATATTAACATTCATTAAAAACAGAAAAAAAAAATTCTTAGAAGATTTTACATCAGAAGCATTTACAAGGCGCTACATGTCTTGAACATTCATTTCTCCCCTACATATTGTTATATTTCTCTTATATGATTTTGTGTTATAAAATTTGGAAAAGACTTCCTTCAGACATGACAATGGAGTTAAAAAACAGTAAAGCTGGTCGAAAGAGACCAACCCTCCTTCTGGCCAGTCAGCACCCAGTGTTCCCTGCTCTGATATGTGAAAACAGAGATTTTCTCACTTAGTTATAAGTTTATCTAGCATTACAATTTAAGAAGAAAAATTTTAAGAATCAAAATAAAACTTCAGTAAAAGAATTCATTAACCAATCACATGATATCTTGACAAAATAACAGCCCTCGCAACTATTAAAATTCACCCTCACTATCCATGACCACTACAAATGACACCTGCTAAATAGCTAAACTGACATTAGAAGTGTTTCACACCCTGCTAATTAAAATCTAAATTAAATAATTGGATTTTTTTTTTTTTTTGCATTTTATCAAACAGTGAGCACATGCAAAGGTAGCCATCTATGTTAAAGGAAATTTACCAGTGTAGGTATCTGCTGTATCCATTTTGAATAAGTTCTATGAATATTTCCTCCTCTATCTAATCACTTATCGCAAAAAAAAAAAAAAAAAATCAAACAGAAACCCAGGGCAGTTATACCTGACAGGCAATATATCTGAAAAACTGATTGCTGATTAGCTGTCAACTAAATAAATAACTTCTTAAGTGGCTTTTGCCTTCAAATTTTGCAAAAGTCACAAGCAAGTGTTCAGACTCAATGTGGCATGATCTGAAAACCTCCCTAGGTCATCGGTACCTCCACTGGATTCCAAGCGAGCAGATACCTATTATATGGCTTTGAGTATAACAGCTTTGTAGAATCTTAAGTGTTCCATTTCCAAAGTAAAACTCAGTGCAGGAGTTACACTTGGTAACTTCAAATTACTACTATAAATCTGAAAGTTTACATTTCTATTGGTATCTCACAGTCCTTGGAAATCATATAATTTCTGCATATATATAGATTCTAAAAAGGAACTTTTAGACTCTATTTTCTGTGTATTTGTCATTGTTTTGCTAAAATGGTGACATAGCATAAATTTGAAACCTGGCATTAAAAAAAAATCAATTTTAATTAAAATTTTGTGTCTGATGAAATTCACATGAAAGTGAACATCTAGTATTACCGGTATGAACCTGAGAGATACTATTTAAGGCTTTTATAAAGAAGCAGACTCCATACTTCTTTCACCAAATTCAACATCTTCATTCTGTAGTTTGTCTGTCAATAATATCTGTTAAGTTTTACAAAACAGTACCACTGAATTTGCACTTGGTGCAGATGGACAGAATTTAGTAGGGGAAAAAACTGTATTTCTGCTTCCCCAGTCATGTTTTTGTAAAACCTTAAAATGCAAGTGCTGCAGTCCCCAGGGATGCTGCTGAGGATTTGGAGTGGCTCTGAGTCGATTGTGCTGAACCCTTAAAATGTCCCTGCCTTTCCCACCCACAGTGGGCAAAAGCAGAATGAGAAAAATGAACTGGGTATTATTATTCCAATACTGCATGGACTGCAGATTCTTCTCAGAACAAGACAATTAGGAAAATCCATGGTTACTCATTAAAACAGTTTCCTAAACATTTTTGTGAAGACTGTACAAAGCTGTGAGAACCATGGAAACCAGAGCAATTCAGTTCTTAAACTTCAAATGTGTATTGTAAGGATTCTTTAGTTGTGTATACTCAATCACGTAAAAATATTTACTATTGCTTAACTCTGGGGAAAAAAGAAACTTAATAATCAATAACAAATATAACTTGTATGCAGATATCTAAAAGTGATAAATCAGAATATGAATTATTCTGTTACAAAAACTCTAATTTAGCAATATTAACTTAATTCTGTTCAAAATAGATAACAGCAAATAAAATTGTACCAAAAAGTCGAGATAACACAGTAAAGAAAGTGCTTCAAAATACAGTGTTCTATACCAAAGAGAATTCACAATTTTAAATGACAAAATATTAGTGCAGACTTGTTTTTTGAAAACAGCTTACAACCTTTCATTGTTAATTATTGTCATATGTTATAGTTTCCCTTTTCTGATTAGTATTATTGGTATTTTCAATCAAAAAAATAATTAATTTAAAAAAACAACTTTTCAAATAGTACTTACTTATCAGAACTAGTTGTAAGGGACATGATACAGTATGAATTGATATTGATACTCTGCATAGTGGATAAATCTGGAGACTAGGTCTGCATTTTAATTTGGCATTGAAACTTTAAAATCTGTGTGGCAGCAGAATAATGCATACCTTAGGTATTTGGTGAGGTGAATCCCCCAATAAATGCAGACTGTATATTAACTATAATGAATGCACATTACATCCTGCTTTATTGTGAATCTGCAGAAGTAAAGCATTTCAGAGGAACTCATTTATGGTTTCACCTGACACTCTCACTAACAACTCACCAGGAAGGTTAACTATTAGAGAAATACCTCTTTATCCCATCTACTCTCCAGAGTCCTTCTGTGAATTGCCACAAGCATGAACCATTAATCTTATTTTCCCTGCAGCTTTGCTAAAATTCAAAATATAGAATTGCAAGCTCATTTATTTGGTGACAACTCTGCTCTTCTTTAAATAACTCAATAAAAAAATTAGGCCTTTCATTTTCTGAAAAGGATTGAATCTAAAAGGACCTGCATTAAGGATTTCTCAGATGTATTTTTCTATTCTGTCACTGGCAGGAGGAATAGGTTAACTGCACACATCACAAGGTGGCATAGGAAAGCAGAAGTAATGTCTGCCTGCCTTGACACCTTCCTGGTGTTCACACAGTTCCAGAAACCCTATCTTGGAGTACATGGAGAGTTTTCATGACATGAAGGCCACCAAAATTTCTGAAGTTCTTTTTGGGGTGGGTTTTTTTTTTTTATATTTCTTCCAGTACTTGCAATGTAAAGTGCAGAACTTTGAACTAAATTCCTGCAATTATAGTATACACTCATTATAAGGCTCTCCATTATAGCAATCTTTCTGATATAAAACTACATCAAATCTGAGTTTTGTATATAAATGCTTTATTTTTTTTCTTGACAAGAGATTTTATGCAATTCAGAGAATTGGTACTAAAGAAATTCAAAAAAATTGTTTGTGAAAGAATTTAATAGAATAGGTTTTACATGGCATCTGTTATTACGAAAGATCTTAACATTAACATTCCTTGAAAATGAGTAACAAATACTTAAATATGGGAAATAATTTTATTATCCATAACAATCTAGGGTGTAAATCAATTTATTTAGTTAGTTCTAAAGCTCTTCTTGTATACAAACCTGGAGATTTAGTTATTGTTTCATTAACTTCTCTCACTCCTTTACCTACAAGTAAAAAGACAAATTATCATTTTCATGAACATACTTGTGTGGGTTTTTTCTTTTTTTCTTTTTCTTTTTTTTAATAAAATGGTAAAACAATGCCTGATGGATGCAATCATCTCTAATCCAATGGAGCCATATTTAAAACAGAAGTAACTGGTCTTGAATACTTTTCATGTTTAAACCTATACACATACTTGCACAAAACTATCAGAAAATAATTTAGATAAATAAAAATATTTTCTGTGCAAAATTTTCTGACTAGCCAATTATTTGACACTGTTAGGCCCAAAATTTTTATATCAGTCATGCTATAAAAGAGAGCCTTATGGAGGAGAAAAATACTATCTTTAATTATAAATAATAGTATATCACAATAGTAAAAATTGTGTTAAATAAGATTGATGCATTTATGACACAAATCAGCAACGGCCAGATAGCTTGATTAAGATAACAGGATCGGATGTCATGGGAAAGGTTTATAACTGGTGTAATTTGCTGTATTTGTGTACACTCAGGAAAGTTATGTCCATTGACCCCAGATCAAGTTCTGGACTCATACCATTTGCCACTTTAGAAAGGATAATGTCCCATTGGATGATTTGGTCTTACCTGGTGTTTTGTTTTTTTTTTCCCTTTAGAAGCCAAAATTCACTAATTAGACTGATCAGTTGCTAAGAAAGCACAAATTTGTGGGACACTAAATGAGAATTATACCTTAAAATGTAAGCCAATAAAACAAAAAAATCCCTTTTATAGAAACCTTTCATGTCTTTTTTCTTCAATAAATAAAACAAACACCTCTCCAAAAAACATAAAAGTTCATTTATCTCAAATTATTAACTAATCAGTAGCATGAAAAGTCATCCTTTAGGGATATAGAATAAGAAGATAAATTCTGATGTATAGATCATACGACGAGGCTGAATCAAGAAGTCTACACTTACATTAAGGAAAATTAAATATTCGTCATACTTTGATATATTAGAATTAAAAATCATGTTGCAAACAACTTTCCCATGGCATCTCACTATTTTGCCTTTATTCATATTCTAAATATAGTTTTATTTTATTTTATTTTATTTTTCTGAATTGGGAACTTATAGCCATGTTTATTCTCATGTGAAGAGCAAATTTAGACTTCATAACTATATACTGAGATCTACTCTAGCAAAGTTACAGTGATGAAAGTTACACTGATATAAATAAAAGAGGAATCTAGTATAATTTTTTTATTTTATTATTCTTTTTTATTTTAGAAGATTTCCTTAGACAAAAATCACACCTGCATGAATCTAAAAGCTAAGATATTAAATAACTTTTATCATTCCTAATAGAAAACCATGTATTAAACACATACATTGAAACACTGCTTAAAACTGTGACATAAAATAAATACACTTAAGGATAATGCTTTATATTGCTTAGGTTTTGTTTGCTCGTTAGGGGTAAAAATATGTATGTGTGCCTGTGCATTTACACACACATATCCCATTGTCTTCCTCCATGAGTTCTAGATATTATACTCACTTTTTGATTTCTTCACTGTTTCTCCCTTAAAGTAAAAGTCGTTGTGTCATGCTTGTCTTTAATTGGTAAGTAAAAAAAAAATTAATCCTACCATATAAAATAAAAATGCCAGGGAAAATTAATTCCAACCAAGTAGGACCCAACAAGTGATGACTTACTTTTACAAATAGGTGATTTTCCTGTCCACTTCATATCTGGTTTACATGTCCGATGCTCTGATCCACCAGCAAGAAAAAATCCTGGCTGACAGGTGTACACCAATGTATACCCTAAAGTTGGAAGATCTATTGCTTTCACATCTACATGTGCCGGTGTTTCTGGTTGCCTGCAAGCATGAGCTGCAAAGGGTTTTTTAGAGTTAGAAAAAGTGGTGGTAAGCAGTTTTCACATTATTAGAGTAAGCAATTTGAAATAAATGCATGCCAACTTATTCCCTTTGATTATGTAAACTCTGTATAGTTTTTAACAATGTCTCTTAACAGTTTGTAAAAGTAACACTCAGAGTGCATAGTTTTATTATTGTGGGAAGATGGAAATGATACTATAATATATTTTGAAAAAAATAAAACAAAATTAAATCACATTGCAATCAGAAAAGAGTTAAAATGAAGACAAACACACGCCATTGTACATGGTTCAATGATTGATGAATTATTGTACTGTCACAGCTTCAAGTATAACTTCCACTCTGTGTTCTGAAAATTAGAGTGGTTACTGTGCTAAATAAATGCATATAGATTTCACTTGAAATAGAGGTTCCAAAACAAGGTTTGTCATAGAACATTGATTATAACAGATATGGTTACCCAGCATGCTTATATCTCTGCTTCACATGGTGTTCATTTATAACAATCCAAAGATACTTTGAAATAGGATAAGAATCTAAGGTCATTCTAGTGAACTACTTTTAGCTTAGGTCAGTGTAATTTAACACAATAGTTATTTGATGTCCTTCAACTCATACAGGGCTAATAGTATAGTAATAATTTGCATAACCGTGCATAGTTTGGAAAAAATGGATTTTGTTTGGTTGTACTTTATGGTTCACAAAATGCTAGTCAACAAAATACACCATGAATATTTCAGATCACTTTCTGTTCTTTATTAATCCAATACATGCACACAAAATATCCTAGATTAAATTAAAGTAGCTAATGCAGTAGGTTAGTGAGGACAGACTCTTTTTGAATACCATCAATAGAATTATTTTGAACTTCACTATAAAACTTTGGTCTTCAAATAGGAAACAAAAAACCATTTAAAAATCTGTTTTAAATAGTTTCCTGGTTTTGTTGCATATATGAATGTCCACGTTTCACTTTGTAACTCCTTTAAAATTGTATTTTAAGTAACTTTAAAATAGTATTTTAATTCATTAGAATAGAAACCAGACTTACGAATGCATTCAGACTGTATGCCGCTCCAGGTTAAGTTAGCAAGACAAGAACGTGTGGTAGATCCTTGAATATGATAACCTTTTCTGCATCTGAAATAAACTGTGCTCCCAACCTAAGGATCAAACCAGAATGTTAGATAGAAGAGACATCCATCACATATAGTCAGATCTCAAGACAGTGATAAGTTAATACAGAGATTTTTTCAATAATAAAAATGTCTGCTTTTCACAGTTTCTAGGGCTAATTTTTTTTTACGTGATGAAAAGTTTGAGCAATTGATCTTTTGTAACCTTATTTGAAAACAATATGAGGAAAAAACATTGACAAGGCTGTTCACATGGAAAAGAATGACGCACATACATTTCTGCTGCTAAGTTAGTCAGTGTGACAGAACCAAAGTAAATGCCTGAGATGCGTTTCTTTTCTGTACCTCACTGCATATATTTCAATACAACTTGACCATAAAGTCTCTTTCAAAGGCTCGTGTGACTTAACAAAACATGGGTTAGTCAAGGAAGAAGAAAAAACTACAAAGAACTGTGTCATCTACAAATAAATGCAATAGAGAAAACTCCAGGCCACGACTTCTTACACTGCACTTGTTACTATAGGCTAAGTTGTATTTGAGGTGTTCAACTAGCAGAATGATGTTATGGAAAGCCTTCCTATGATCAACTGCGATCAGAAGAAAAGGTAAAGTAACTGAGAAAATGCTCTTTAGATTTCCACTAAGAATAGAAATATGTGAAAACTAGACACAAAATTGCATGAAATACAGAATTTTCATAACAGACGAGAGAGAGATTATATGGACAGACAAAACTGACATTATTGGAAATTATGTGACTTAGTAATAAAGAAACATATCACATGGAAAAATTGTGTAAGTTGTAAATGAGTAGGGATTGATGCATATTAGTGAAAGAGCTTGCAGTTATAGAAATGTTATAGGTCTGCACTGCAAATGTCATAGCAGGACTGTAATGGAAATTAAAAGTGAGCATCTTCAAAAATGGCTAACTGCTAAACATACACCCAAGTACATAAAACCTGATTACCATGATAGATGTTTAGCAAATGCAATATCATTTCTTTCTGAAGTACCTTGAGAAAATCACTGGTATTTTTAAAGGTCAAATTACTGATAAGGCTTTGTAGACTTGTCTTTCTTGCTATTTTTAAACTTATAATCTCTATCTTGCCAAGGACACACAGCATGTCTGTAGTGGGGATGAGAACACTGTGCAGCTAGTCTTGACTCAAAGTCATCTTCCTTGTGAAATTGCCTATTCTGGTATCTGTCAGTAATAATGATATGCAAATCTTTTCCCACTGCTCCGAAAGACCAAGCAAAAAATAATGTATAAGCTCAAGGTAGTTACAGAGTTATATTGCTTTTTCATCTTACTGGTAATGTTAAAACAAAACCAATACACTCTGTATATAACACTTGGATGAAAAACATTGGGGCATTTGTAACATTCACAGCTCAGTGAAGCACAAAAGGCACAATGAATGAAGAAAGATAGGATGCTGGTAGGTAGGGGAAAACCCTTCAAAGGTCTTCTGGCTATCATCACACTTCTATAATGATTAAAAACTGTTAAAAGCTGTTTTTTAGAAACCTGGTTAAGTCATACAAACAGGAAGCCCACTAATCACATATGAAAAAACCCAAAAGCCATCTAGTTCACTACTAATTAGAGAGAAGTCTACATGTTGTTGTACCAAATAGTGTTTAGAGAGTGAAAGCACATACTTGAGAAATATTTAATATAGAATAGATGAAGATTTACTAGGGCCTCTAGAGGTGAATGAGAAGAGAAAATCAGCCTTCTTGGTCGACAGTAGAACAGTGAATGGGTCAGTACAATTCTGTTATTAAAGACCATTTATGAGGCAGATAAAAGGGGAAGAAATAAGAAAACAACCCCCTGACCAAATTAGGGGCAAAGAGTAAAGTTCTATTTGAAGTGAAAATGGGGACAGGTAGAGGGTCAAGATGAGACAACAGAAAGGCACCTATTGCAAGAAGTAGAACCTCAGGGGTAAGGCCACAAGATGTGGCTCAGGAAAAGGTGCCTTGGTGTCTGTGAGCCAGGCAGGAACACAAAGGGCAGAAAAGAGATGACAACCATAGCAACAAAAGACAGCAAAATTGCCAGAGAGAGAGGGTACCGATAACCAAAGGAACTTACAGAAAGGACTGTTTGAAAAACTGTTTTAGTAACTTGATTGGAATATGGCACACTGCCCTAGGTTCAGAAATATGCAGGAAACCCAAACAGAACATATTTTAGATTCCAATCACACATATTTACATCTGAAAAATCTATCCCATGAAGGTTATCAATCTATATAACGACTGTCATTTTTGCATCTACATTTATTTCCTCAATCACTTTTCTGCCTACCACTTGTTAAACTAATAACCTGTGAGGACTTTGGAAATTATAGAGAGGACATTCATCACAGAGAACCTGGACACAACACAGAATAATTTTATCTTCTCTGACTGAATCAAATATAACATAGATTGCTAATTTAGTAAAGCCACATGCTGACTTTTTTGTCAAGGACTACATGGCCTTTGGATCACACAGGTCTTTGGTTTTTAGGTATTTACTGACTATTCATCAATGTATGAAAGAATTATGATCATAAAGCAAAGTAATTATATCATGCCATATCATATTAAGTAGTCAGTTTATAAATATCTCTCCCTACTGAAGTCTTGTAAAGGACTGAACAAATGATATATTGCAGGGTTAGAAGTTCTTTCTTTAAGCTGGATGTTTGTAAAAAAATTTAGAGCATGAGTTTTTATTAAAAAGGGAGTGAAAATTCCATAAGGTTTGAATTAGACATTTAAGCCTATAGAAAATTTTTCTTAGGAAACTTAATATATATGTAATTATTAAATGCATTTTGATTTTAGAAAGCTAATAAATAATAAAATTACCTCATAACCTCTGGAACTATTCTGTATTCCAAAATGTGGAGTACCAGGGTCTGTACATGTATTGTGAGCTGGATCTAAATGCAAAATGTGAAACACAACACATATTATTGGGGTATGGAAAGAATACTCAAAAACTGTTTGCAAAGATTAAATCATTTCATCAATATCTAGTGATGACAAGAATTCAATTTTTAATGGAATGTGTGCATTTCTATGTATCACATTAGTATTTCCAACTAAATTTCCAAGATATATAACAGTAATTTGTTTCAGTACATAGTCATTATTTAAAAGTAATTTCTGTAGGTATTTCTGGCAGTGCAGACTTTAAAGTTACGATTATTTTTAAGTAATCTTGTCCTTTTAAACCTCTTTGAATCCGCAGTATATTTCACTATTCACAATGTAGTTGGAATATATAGGAAAATCTTTAGTTTCTCTTCATTTCAAGTGAACAGCTTAATGACTAATTTGGATTTCTAAAAAAAAAACCTAAAATTGAACTAAAAATCCATAACCCCCCCAAAAAGACCCCCAAACCCATAATCAGCCCAATTTCTTATAACAAGTAAAATAATTTTTTTATATATATTTTTTTTTCCTATGCCAACAAGAAAACAGGTTTTGAATGGAATACTATCTCAATTGTTGCTCAATTACTTTGCCTCCATAAAAAAAGCACATGGCAACAGAGTATAGCTAATTGTTTGATGTTTGCTTTCATAAGCCCAATTTAAAGAAGCCTGAAACTATTTTTAAATCAGCAATGTCCATATTCTGACGGTGGTTTTGGGGCTGCCCAGAGACATCCAAAAGTTAGACAGCACAGAACTTGATCCAATGGATCTTTTTGTAGGATGTGATTATCTCTTGGCAACAGAGTCTGCTTTGGTGCTGTCACTGAATTACGAAGAACAGAGTTTGGGACTCTATTTCATCTGTAACAATTTTTAGTTTTCTGTTGAGGGAAAATTGAACTTATCACTTACAATAATGTTATATATCATTTCACTCTTGGCTAACTCCCCTTTTCAATATTGAACATCAGTAGAGTATAAAAATTCAACTGGACTGATATTTACCAAGGGCTTCAAAAGTTAGGTGGATGTTGACCTAACGTTCAAGAATAAAAAGCAAACATGCTCCTGACCTTGAGCTGCTTTAACAGCTCAAGAACTTTTTATAAATTATTAGCTGAAGTGCTATTGCTAATAATAGACACATGAAGCTGAATTGACTTTTTAAGATTCATCTCATCTGAAGAAACAGTGGGGATAAAAAGGAGGACTTCTCAAAGTATTTTAAGGAAATTATCAATATCCAAAAATATGAAAGTTTGCACCATATGGTACCCTTAGCTGTCATTCTAGGTGTCATTGTTCGCTGTTCTTAACTTTCAAATTGCTTAGAAATTATAACTTTAAATATTTCAGATTATATAATACAATATATTTTATGTATACATACTTTTATATATATACACACAATATATAAATAAATAAATAAATAAATAAATAAATATATACATACAATATATATACTTTTACAATAACATAAAAACTATGATTTAAAATACTTATATCTTTGATGCAGTTCTTTCTATATGCTACTATATTATACTGTATAAAGTATAAACAAAAATGCCATGATGACATTTTCTAATTTAATTCTTTTCAGTAGACCTGAAATTTAGGTTTTGGAAACCTCGCCTACATAAGTGTAAGATTATTGCCCAGTTTACCAAAACTATGGACAGCAGAAGTTTTGAACTCATATAAAAGAATTCTGTTGACTGTTAATGCCTTCATTTAAAAATACAGGCTGCTTTCAAAAAAAACATACTTACCACCTTTTTCCAGAGTGCCCAGCCCAGCTCTTTTAAAAAGCAGGTATATTACTGTAACAAGGTATATAAATGGGCTACAATCTACATCTGAATGTCACTGTTTAGAAATATTGAAGAAGATTTTTTTATTATAAGACACAAATAATTTTCTCTAGCAAGTGACCCCAAGTTGGATCAAATTCTATTGCCAGTGGATGTCAGTTCTGTGCCCTCTCAGCCTTATTATGTAATATGCTAAAAGAATACCGGTTGCACATCAGTCAATGAAAAACAGAGAATTTGGGTATTCATCAGAATTTCAAAAGATCAGAGATGTACAAGCCACTTTCACAAAGTCCAAAATGCTTTTTTATTTAGGATTGATTTTGAGAAAAGCCTTGAACTTTCCAGTGACAAAATCTGGTCTTTAACCTGCCATGGTCTACTGCATACCTAAGAGATTCTAAAAATAGAACAAATTTATGCATTTGCACATATTGACATTCTGCATTTCCAGCAGACAAGTAATTATGTGAATTTACAAATTGCTTCATATGTGATTGTGTTTATCCTAAAATTCTTATACTCAAAATATAACCTTATTTACTAGTTCTTTTTATATTACAGAGATTTTTTTCTATATTTGGATAGCCCATTGCTAGATTTATGATCGTGTAGTAGTTTATCAAGAATATTCTCAGTAGAAACAGCATAAGTAGTGGTAGTTTTTACCTATGCATGTTGGCTGAATTCCACTCCAAGTACCATCTGCTTGACAGAATCGTCTTGAAGAGCCTATCAAAATAAAAGGGGGTCTGCACTGAAAGCTAACTTCAGATCTGTAGGTGAAACTTTTTCCATTGAGGCGTCCTTCTGCAGGAGTACCAGGGTCACCACAAAACACAGCTAATGTATAAAAAAGGAAAGAAATAAATAAAAGAGTTATTAAAAACTGCACATTCTTTAACTGAAGCATTCTACATTGTTTTATGTGCAAAACAAGCATACTTAATATGAGTGCAAATGCTATGTTTATTATTTGTGTAGGATTGTTGCTCTGATAAATCCTTGACAGCAATTTAAAATTATTTATCAGTGTTATAACTATTGTAAGCATAAAATTAACCTGGAAAAATAGACCTTTTAATTGAGACACTTAAATGCTGATTAGATTTGGATGACAAAATACTCCCAAAGTAGACAATGCTATATTGCAATGCTTCAAAGCATAATCAGTTTTCACATCAGTCACCCTCAGATGAGTAGGCTGGAAATTTTTGCCCTAGTTAGATAAAATCAAAATTGTTTATCAGAGTCCCGACAAGATTGCAAGCACTGAAGGAGATGAATTGACAGATTTGGAAGATGCTAAAAATCAAATACAAGCAAGATATGAGGGTATGTACTCGCCTTTAGAAAGAAAAAATTGTTTAGAAAGGAGTGCAAGGACATGAGCTTAAGGGTTAGCATTTTTGTTTTCACCTGTCAATGGAAATGGAAACAGGGAAGAAAAAAAAAGGAAAAGTGTAAGGGAATATTTCAATCATGCTCACCACAAGTCAAATTCAGAATATCTGAAAGGATTATCAGTAGGGCAAATGCTGATGGGTCCAATTTGGTAAAAAGAGATGGAGGTGACGTTCAGGGAGAGAAAGAAGACCGTGCCCTTAACAGGCACAGCCACTCAATTTCATAAGTAAGCTTTTTGGTAGGAGGAGGGAGAATCCTGTGGTAATTCATCTATTACCTGATGTAGCTGAGTCCTTTTTAAACTGTGATTCTGTGACTGTAGCCCAAGACAACTGATTGTAGCTTTGGTGAAGCCCAACACAACCATACCCTGAAAACTTACGCAAACACTGTGGGATGTCTCCCCGCCAAACTCCTCGGCCTTCACAGGAGAGAATAGCTGTGTTAGACAGCTGATAGCCTTCTGCACAGCTGTAACTCACACTGGCACCCCAGCGATAGTCAGATCCTTCCACTTTCCCATACAGCACTGTTGGAGGGGGGCCACAAGTAATAGCTGTGCCAGAAAATAAAATTTATAATTTTAATAATTTATAGGGTTTAGGAAAGTGCAATATAATACATACTCATACTTTTGAAACTAGAAAACATATTTCAGGCCATTCTGTTCCAACAAAGCATGTGTTGACAAAGCAGCCTGTTATAGACAGAAAACCAATTTAAATACAAATATACAACTGTTGGGTCTAGGAGGTCTCTGAGCAGTAGGTTGCTAGAAGCCAAAAGAGTATATAGCTTATGCAGTTATGAATTCTTTCCCTACATATCCATTACTGATTATTGTTGGCAACAGGTTACTGAGCTAGGTAAAATTCTAAATATTTGCATCTTCTTTTAAACTAATTTTGCAGCACTATTTAATATGATTTTGTTCATTCACCTGCTCATTTCCTAAGGCTTTCAGCACACAATGGTAATTAACTTTATTGGTAATTAGTGGCTAAGAGCCTTAGAAATTCTCTGTTTTCCACCTTCTGATAAGAGTGCCCAAAATGATGAAATCTGGAATGACCAGGTTTACATTTTCCTATAATTTCTTTTAACAAAGTGCACGACCATAAAATCACTCAGCCAGTGATTTTTACAACAGAAAATGTAGCCAGTTGAATACATATGCCAAAATTTGATTAGTAGGCTAGACTTAGACATCACATTGAAGTGGTGCAAGGTGAGTTGGCAGTGTAGGCCTTTTCTAAGCAGAAGACGCCCTAGGCTGTTAAATTTACTCCCCGGGCTGCTGTAGTGGTGCTAACAATTTTCATCAGGCTGCCTTATTTGTCTTTTAGCTTCATCTGCACTATGACCTTCCTGTTAGCACATGTAATTAGCTATGTGGGAAGCATATTTCTGGCTGTTTAGGATGATTACACTACTTGCAACAAGGCAATCTTTTACAGGAAGTTTGGTTTGCAGAATTTTGTCCATCTGATCCAAGATAAAAGGAAAATGAGTTCTTCATTCTCTCCTTTTTAAGTTGAGTGTTCTGACAATCTTCATTGCAGACTGATTTGTTTCTACTGTAGTCATTAATGTCATAATTTTGACTGATATTATAGTATGGTATACATGCAAAATAAATACAAATTCTACACAATTTATACAAAAATATATCTAAATGTTTTAGTTGTATTTGAACAGTAATGCCCCAGAGAATATTTGACAATATTTTTTTTCACAAATAAAGACACTAATTAGTGAATTTCACCTATAGTGTCAAAACAGCATTTGTAAACTATGTAAATGCAAAAGTTTACCTTTGCAAATTGGTTTACTCTGGTTCCAAGTGCTGTCTTTTATACAACGCATGGTAGATGAACTTGGAGGCTCCATCAAGTACCCTGGATTGCACTGATAGCTGACTGTCTTATTAAAGGTGAAATCATTTCCAAACTGAATGCCATTTGCTAATGCACCTGGATCTCCACAATTGATCACTAGTGAGGAAAAGAAAAAAGGTTTGTTTTTTTTAAATAAATGTTGAACCATGTGTACATTGAACCATATATACCTAAAGTCTTTTTTTAGTGTACAAAACAAGAACAATTCTGATCAACATATTTCACCAAAAAATAAAAACTTAGTCTCCAATTTTATCTAAGAAGTTATTGTCTGGCACTTCAATATCATGGTCAGATATTGTTTTCCTTTAACACAGTAGCCTAAGCTGGTGTGCTCTACTGCTACTGCAGTCTGTTAGTGGTAGTTTAGATTTGAAAGTAGTTTGACAGGAATTCTTTTTCCTTCATACTGGTATCTTTGTCACATTATGCCTAGTGGTGGTGGTGCAATGCAATTCCAGCAGTGTTATGAAATTCTTCTTTATTTTTTTTTTCTTTTTTTGTATTTATGACTGTACTGATGTACTATGAGTTTGTCCTTGTCAGTGAGGCCACTAGCCCTGCTTGCCTTGTAGCATTCTTCTGGTCTCTGTCCACTTTCCCTGATGGAATAACCCAGTCTTGCTGCTCCCTGATTCTTGGTTGACTGATCAACTCTGACTTGTTTGACTTACAATAAAAACTGTCACAGTAATGTATCCAATTATAGATCCAAAATCTAACTTAGAGCTACCAGAACTTCATCCTCTAACATAAACCACAAGAATAAAAAAAAAAAAAAAAAAAAAAAAAAAAAAAAAAAAAAAAAAAAAAAAAAAAAAAAAAAAAAAAAAAAAAAAAAAAAAAAAAAAAAAAAAAAAAAAAAAAAAAAAAAAAAAAAAAAAAAAAAAAAAAAAAAAAAAAAAAAAAAAAAAAAAAAAAAAAAAAAGCTAGAGGAAACTATTGAGGAACACCTAAGTAAAATATGATTCTAAAGAATTATACTATATTATAGTTATATTATCAGTGTTGACACTCGTGTGTCAACAAATGCAATAAAGTTACTTATGTAGCCATCTTAAAAAGATAAATTGGAAACATTTAGCATGTATTAAAAGGGCATGTACCTTGAGATATATAAAAATATTCATGTATTACAAGACAGACACATGTGGAAAAATGTGTTCCACTATCTATCAAAACAATATTTTTCAGTAGGAAAGCATGGATGACTAACTACATCAAAACTTTAGAAGAAGAAAGTTTCCTTCTGACCTGTGCAGTCTGGAGCAGTGCCAGTCCACGTCCCATTAGCAGTACAATGTCTAGTAGTTAGCCCCGAAGTTTTATAACCTTCCCAGCAGGCATAAATGACTGAACTGGAGAATAATATTCCATCAGTGTATATTATCATACCATTGGCTGGGGTGCCAGGGTTCCCACAAGATACAGCTGTGAAGAAGAGATTTAAAAAAAAAAAAAAAAATCAATATTTCAATGAGACGTGACTAACTGGCGGAAAAAAAAGTGCAAACACAAACAACTAGATTAATTGCTCATCTTTAAAAAAAAAATGTAGCAAGTTTTAGTAGGAAAATATTTAATAGGTATATTTTTAAATTAATTATTTCTGTTTCTTAATATTATCACTTTACTTGCATTTGAAAGGGGCTTTCTTTTTTACTTTGATTTTGATTTTGTTTTTTTTTTTCCTGAAAATAGAAGGTTGAAGCAAACAATATAAAGAAATGGTGGAAAAAAAGCAGGGTTTGAAACAATTATAATTGCCACTGACTTCTGCTGCCCTACTATACTTAATGTCTTCATGTAAGGAAAGCAGAAAAAATTTTGCTAAACTTCAATATTTACTGAAAACACCGATCCAAATACTAATCCTGTGCACGCTGCCATTTTCGCACAGTTATGATGATATCTTCACTGACAGGAGATTATTCTGTGCTGAAGAATATTGTAAAAGAACAATTATTACATGAGGCTACTGTGATAAAATGCCTAGGTGAAAAAAAAATATGAATTTGTTAAAAAGATTTTGTCCTGTCTTTCATTTTATTGTTTAGTTTAGGAGACAAGAGATACTACAAAATTCACCAACTACAATGAATTAGAGAAGCAGCTTTTCAAAGCAAGAAGTCATTATAAAACTGAATTTAAAGTCCTCTATTCCTGCTTTCTGATTCTGACTGTACAACAAAAAACAAAAATAAAAAAAATCTTTATTTTTATTTTTATTATTTTATCTTATTTTACAATGTGATTTTCAGAAATATTCTCTGTTTCATTTCCTCCAAGAAAGAGGTAGTATATATCTCATTATATATTTTATATATATATCATTAAATATTAGTTTAACTTTTGTGGAGAAATATACATTAATTTATACTTAATTAGGAATACAACTTTATTTTATAATTTGTTTAGTACTTCATGCACAGATATTACATAGAAAGAGAAGATGAAAGTATTTTATTGCTATAAAACAGATGACAGATTTATTACTCTATTTTCATATCTTCAATCAAAAGCATTCGTTTAATCTTACATTTAACTCTGGTATCTACTATCTATTTTCAGACTCAATATTGTTTAATTGAAATTATTTTCTCACAAACTTCTTTATTACAAAACTTTACAGTTTGGATTTAGGTTTTCAAGCAAAAAAATGAACTGCTTGCAAACTTTTTTTTATTACCTATCTACAGAGAATTATGAAAGCATATTTCTGTGTAATATTTTTTCAGTCAAAGAATAAAAAGTCAGTAAACGTCATTCACTGGTGTGATAAATACCAGTGGTATCAACACCTACCTTCACACACAGGCTGGATTCCTGACCAGGAACCATTGAGCAGGCATGTTCGTTCTGCAGATCCCCTCAGCTGATAACCCATTTCACAGGAGAAACGTAGCAAACTTTTTATTTTGAACTCCTCCCCTAGTCTAGACCCATGAGCCGGAACGCCCGGATCATCACAATAACCGGGATTATTTCCTGTAAAACACAACATAGTAGAACTACCGGCAGAGACATTACATGCAAATGTAGTGGCAGGGACAATACTCTCTTGTGAACAGCACTACTAACTGCATTGTTTCTGTTACAATCCATCCCTTTTCTTCTGGTATAAGAGTGTGAAACAAAAGCCAAAATACATCTTTTTTACCCTACTTCTTCTCTCAGACCAATACAGACCTAAACATAGAAGTTGACATAAATAAAAGATAAAAGATGTGAACATGTGAAGCACCTCTGTCACTTTTTGACAGTTCAACAAATTTGTTGTCTTTTTGACATAGTTTCTACACGTATTTTACTGTTCAACTTCTGTCCTAGTAATAACTTCTAATAACAAGAATTAGATAACAGCATGAGTGAGGAGGAGAAGCATATTCAAGTTTCTTAAGAAATGCATTTGAAATATCTATATCCACACTGTCACCTGTCCCTCTGCACCAGTCAAGAATGAAAAGGACACCTCATAACCATCCTTATCCTTTAAATTTTTATGTAAATATTGGTTACAAATTCAGAAGAGAAATAAGGTGCTGCAAGACAGACTTTTCAAAGATGTCTTCATAGGTCTAATTAACCAGTCAACTACCATATCATATAAAGTGGCTGCTACAGGAAATGATATACAAAATGATTAAGGAAGCACAGTCTCAGTATCAAGAATTAATCATAAATTTTGGCAAAAAATTGTATATCTCCTAAATCCTTTTGTGTCTAAACTGTAGTCCATAACAACATTATCCTTTGTTCTCCATGTTTAAATTATATGTCTAGATTCAAATTCTATTGAAACTGGGGGTTGTGTTTGTGGTTTTTGTTTGTTTCTTTGTTTCTTTTTTGTTTTTTTTTTTTTTTTTTTTTTTTTTTTTTTTTTCCTTCCAAAATCTATGCAAATAATTTAATCGGTTGAAGTCTGTATATTCTTGCAAAGGTTTTTCATCAAGGGCACCCCTTCATATGAAGAACAAAATCATGAACAAAGGAATAACCATAGCAAATCTTTGAGGAAACTCAAATATTTAATTGAAAAATAAAATTGTCTAAAGTCAGAAAACATGATTATGTGCACATTATAAGGTTTTAATTATAACAAATATGAGTAGATACAATCATGCTTTCTCGCAAAAGGAGGCCAAGAGACACTCTCTGAATTCCAGGCTAACTTGTGGGTTTTAATTGCATCGACTTTGTTTAGAACTAAGTTCTTCTAGAAGAGACTGTTTCTGTTACCCTGCCCTACAGCATTTGGACATAGATTTCCTGATCTAAGTGCATGTTTGTGAACAGTGTGGGTGTCTTGAAGCCAGCTGGTATATTCTGTCCACATCTATATCGTAAAACTGACTTTCCAAAACATGGTGGCTGTATCCGAACTGACTGTTGAGAATGATCTCTGGCACACACAAACTTGTGAAGTAATTGCAAGGTTGCTAGGGCTGAAAATATTCTGGAACAATTCTAAGAGTATAATGGTCCCAGTGATTAGGTACTAGCTTCTGTGACTTATGCCCTGGCACTGTTAAAGCAGAAGTCCAGATGTGGCCACTAGATGCTGTCTTCTTCCACTTACTTTAAGACATTACTATTTCATAGATATTTCTGTCTGCTTAAAACGTGTGAAATAACATGGGGACTGTGATTGAGGCTACGACTGTGGCATGCTTCCAGCATGAAACAACTATGTGGCACATATTTTGGCTTGTGAAAGGAAAGGAATTGTTCAGGGCAGAATGATCTATGATTCCGAAAATCTAATGATGTCTTAGTTTGCTTTGGGACTTTGCTGAGGGAATTATTACAAATTATTAAATTATTAAAAAAAATGTAGAATTTTTTTTTCTTGGACACATCTAATTTTGACTTGGAGAAAATCTGAACTGGGGCCATGCAATTTTATAGTCAAAGGGTATAGACAAAGGCAGTTGCAGTATTATAAAGGTCTAGACACTTTTTTATTTAGCAATGTAGATGTCTGCATATCCATTATCAAAAAATGAATGTGAGTCATCTCAAACAACAATCTCAACTATCGCTTAATTCATAAGATAAAAAAGGCCGTCATTGTAAAGGGTCCCAGGTGACAACAGACCCTGATATCATACTTATACCATCATAAAATCATCATGCATTCAAATATATATTAATGTATAATAAAGAATAAATCCCATGCAGAAACAGACTACAGTTTTTAAACATTACATTTGGACTGTTTTTCATATCCCTGAAGTACAAAACCAATTAGAGTTCTCAGCCATCCTGGGTACAATCATTCTTTCATTGTCATTATGACAATGAATCATTCATACTGGATTTTGATGGAGTAATCTCCTGAATTTCTAACATGAATAGTGTAGTTATTTTTATAATTCTAAATACCTTAGAGAAATGAGATACTGTTGGAAGTTCCCTGTAAGAGGTGTATTCACAGTGGAGAAAAACCTCTGAAGAAAAGGAGAACTGAAGTAAAAACAGCTTTGGAATGCAGCTAAACTACTGGACAACAGATAACTTCCTACCTCAGAGACTGCTTTTTATGTTAAAAAAAGTGTTATGTTTATTCAACTTAGTAACAATGTTGTGAGAGAAAAATCTTACTTTATATGTAATATGCAGTTTCAAATATTGTTAGCCCTGTCGCTATTGATTGTAACCCCTCTGCTTACTGGCCTCTGATAGTTAATATTTATAATTTTCCCCCTTCTTTCTGTCTCTTCTCACCCATATTTGGATGTGTATAGTTCAGTTTCTCCATTTATAGACATCCCCTTGCATGAAACTTCCTTAATTCCTCCCAAATTCCACACATTCCATGCTGTACCACATAAAAGCTAGCTCATCCCTGAAATAAAGATTCATCCATTTTGTCTTCACTATGTGTGATTTCTGTGCAAAGTGGACACACGGTCTTAATATTTAGGAGGTGTGACAGCTTTTGCCTCCAATAAGAGACTTTTTAGGGTTTTCTTTGGCTATTTTTAGACAGTTTTTTTGTCTGGTTTTGGTTTTTGGTTTTTTGGAGGTTGGGTGGTTTTTTGTTTTTGTTTTTGTTTGGTTTGGTTTGGTTTTTTTTGTTGTTGTTGTTTTTGTGTTTGGTTTGGTTTGGGGTTTTTGTGTGGTTTTGTTGTTTGTTTTTTTTGTTGGTGGTGTTTGTTTTTTTTTTAAATTGAGCTAACAGAGATAGATTTTCATTTTCCTCAGGAATCCCCTTGCTCTCAAGGTGCTGTTCCATCATGTCCAAAGTTAGACAATTCAATTCTGCATTAGTAGCAATATTTTAGTTACACTAGATATATTTTCCTCACCCTAGGAGATGAGTATAATGCTCTTATAATGTTTTCAAAAATCTATGAGTCTATAAAAATGCTATCATATTTGTGACTGATATCTGAAGAGCCTAAATTATTAGCCATTAAAATATCTTTCTGACTGCATGAGAATTTTCCTTGTGATAAGAAATGGTAGATAAAAGCACTAGAGGGCTATGACCTTAAAAATGTTGAAGTCTTGGTGCAATTCCGATCTGGCATATTAGACTGGATAAAAAGGTGTAAGTGACATAAATGTGGGCTTAAGACAAGCAAGAAACGCCTTGTGTAAAAGCCACATGATTGTTCTGCAGAGATTCCTTTCAGGTCTAGGCATAGAGATTATGAGATCCAGCAGTCTGAGAAGACTCTAAACTATTTCCTTCTCAAGCAGCATAGATCAGAAAAGAAATACTGGTGATTTAAATTCACTTCCTTTCCCCAATATTTCAAATTCTTTTCAGCATCCTTTCAGAATCAGGTCATAAATGGACCATTTTCTATTAGAATTTATTTAGAGCTTTCTCAAAGTACTGAATTTAAATAGGCTACACCTGTTTATATTAAATATTCAAATAAGGTCAAATCTGAATTGAACTGCATTGATTTGGATCAGCCCAACAATGGGCATGTCCAAGAGTTCAAAGTGAATTATAAGCAAATTGTATAATAAGTAACTATAAACAATTTTCTCACTAGGAAATTTTATTTTCAAATGAGTCAGGTATTTGTTTCCTTATATATTGAAGTGTGTAGACTTGTTTCCCCTACAAAAACTATTAAAATGCTTTGGATGTCCTCAGCAGCCAACCCTTGCCTGAGCTCACCACTTCAACAAAACTGTGAAATGGTTTATGGCTTCTACTAAATTTGCGTAGTCTGTGAGAGAATAAACTGTTCCTGTACTTCCTGAACATGCCAGACATTTATGGCGTTTGCACATTGAGACACTAATAAAGTATATTTCTGTAAGTGAAAAGAGGAGCAATATGAAATTTATAATGAAGCAATAATGAAGTTTACCATTAGTATCTTTGCTGTAGAGGTTTTTATTCATCGTTTTCTGATGTAACAACCTTTGTTTATGCAAAACAGTGCTCATAAAAATGAAATTTAATATATGCATCCTTTTTAATCAAAACCCAAGCTGGTTTTAAGTACTGTTTTACATGTTCTATACACTGCAGCATGCAATGATAACACCTAGCTAAGAAGTGAATTTGTGAAGTAATGACAAAGAGAATGAGACAATTATGGTAATATTTCAATAAATGGGTATGATCTACTGAGTGGCTATTGGTGAAATTAAAATATACTTGGAAAAGAAATAAATGTCTGACTGCAGCTAAAAACATGCGTGAGACAAGCCTTATTTATGTGACAAGGTGACATTCAGATACTGGTTGGTACATGTACCTGAACAGTGAGGGAGGGTCCCACTCCAGTGGCTATCCTCTTGGCACTCCCTTGTAGAATTTCCTATGAGCCTTCGACCCGCTGTGCAAGAATAGTGAACTATGGAGCCATATGTAAATTTGTCTCCTGAAAGAACTGCATTTGCAGGTACCCCAGGATGTCCACAAGAAATGGCTAACAAAGGAAAGAGCACAATATGGTTTCAGGGCACAGAAAAACATTCTATTATAACTTTTAAATATAAGGCTGGTTCCACACAACATACACTTCTGTCTGGATTTCAACTCTTTCATATTTTCAGTTTTGCTGTTGCTATAGATGATTTACTGCTCATTTGTAAGATTAAACACAAAATTTCATATAAAATTAACCCATCCAGTTCAGCCATTATTTGAAAATATAAAACTTTCTTTCCTGATTCATTTCTGTTCACTGTCCTTCCCTACAAATAGTGTACATTATTCCAGTTACAGTTAGGAAAGAATAAACCAAATAAGGTTAATGTTGCAATGTGCTATATGTTACAGATATGATTATCATATCTGTAGCTCTATCATGTTTATAAAATAACTAGATACAGTTTAAGCAGTACAGTGAAATATAGTATTCTGTAGTATTACTATAGCAATGTGTTGCACTAGACTGAGCAAGAGGAAAATGGATTACTGAACATTTTTTCTAATTTTTAAATCATATTTATGGTTAAGTTAAATGTGTACCTTTTGTTTGAAAAAATCAGATAAACATTTTTGGAACATAAATAGCAAATATAACTAGTTCAGATCTGTTATATGAAGAAACATAAGTCATAAACAGTCACATGAACAGGCAGCATTTAAAGAGACCATTTGAACTTTAGAAGCTTGATAAGTTACTTGAAAGAATTATCTATGATTAAAATACCTTTTTAGAAAAAAAATCACCTCTTTTTCTGATGACTATTTCTGACACATAACAAAATTTTCTCTGTTGTACCAGATCCCACGATAATGTCAATCTGACTGCACAATGGATTTCTGACAAGGTTTGTGGTCCTGACCAATGCTGTGTGTTTCTCTTGTGTTTCTTGGGTTGGTTTAAGCGTTCATGTAGCAAATGGTATGGCAAACCAGGCCACTGGTCTGGGTGAACAGTCCCAGAAAAAAATCAGTGTTTCGTTTTCAGTCAGAGCAGTTACCTTAATGAGCTTACTTCAGTGCCATGGAAATGCAAGTCCTATCACAATTCTAGAAATTTCTGAAATTTCTATTTGTTTACTCTTGAACTAGAATTGCTCATGGTAAACTGTGTCTACTTTGGGTTCAAAACTTATCTCAACTGCCTGTCCAAGTACTTTGCCTTATCACCAAAATCAATCTTGAAAAAAATCACACTTGGGAAAAAGAGATTATCACTGATAACTTTTGAAAACCACATCTCTCTTATAGTACTTGAAAAAGCTCTGAGTGCTTTAATCTGTGAATAAACAGATTTTTCTCTCACAAAGAGCCCTAATCATTTCATTGAATTTTCCTTAGAGGAAAGAAATTTGATTTGTCCAAGTGATACTTAGGGTTCAGATGTGTTTCAGCCCAACAGCAGCAAATTAGCAAGAGTAAATCCAGTAGGTTTAATTGAGGCCTAATCTTTAGATTGAGGGATATAGACACCTCCCAGGCTCATTTGAAAGTTCCTATGGACTCAATCAATAGTCCCCAAAGAAAGGTCATGGATTCCTATTATAAATGCACAGATACCTATGATTTTTCTTGAGCTCTGTCTAAAAGCAGAAAGTCATATAAATGCTATCAAACTTCCAAAATGCTTGATGTGGAAAGATGGGTATCTATTTTAGGTGATTTAGATCCTCCATCCTCTTTTGCCCCTCGCATAAGGAGCATCTCTTCACACTGAAACTCCACTCTTGGAAGTAGGAAGGGATCACTGACAGATTTGGGCCATGGACTTTCATAATGGTTTGTCTAAGATACAAAAGTTAAGGACTATACTTGTATCAGTAAAATGTTCTCACCAAGTGAAAAATGTATACAGATTTTTGTATTTAAAATGCTATATTTTGCCTAATTATTTTAGTATTGAAATGTGAATAAACGCATTTTTTCAGGTTATACCTCTTATTGATAGATATTGAAAGTGTAGATTTTTGTGAAAAATCAAAACAAAACTGCTTGGGTCATGTGAATATTAGATACATAATAGTACGAAGACCAAGCATAACAAAGAAATATTTTCACTAACCTAATTACATTTATTGCTCTGCTATAAATCCATAAAACAAATAGTTTTAATAAAAAATCACAATTTGTAAAGCAAAAACTTTAAAATAATCCGATATGTTTCAAATTAAAGTATACTCCAACTTAATTTATTATTCCTCTAATTGCATTGTAAATCAGAAATCATGTCAGCACATTAATAGTGACCAGAGAAGAAAAATATCTCAATGGAAATTAAAGTCAGCCAAACTGTTATTCTTCAAAGATCTGCAGTTCACTGAACTGATTGTAGGAAACACCAGAACATTTCCTCCCTCTCTGCAGAAAAAGTGATGGAGGAAGTATGAAGTGATGTTGTAAAAAGACTTTCTTGAGCAAAATTTTTCCCTAGCTGTTTTCAGATATCTTAATAATTCATCAAAAGGGGAAATTAATGTTAACTTTCTGGCTTTAGAAATAATGCTTCTGCAATTCCCTATAAACACATTTTTAATAATGGCAAGTTGCGTGATATCTTAACATTTTCTTAGTGAGACATACAATTTGCAATATGTTGATCCTAAAGTTCAATTTTGTTCTTCAACAGATGGTTACACTTTTTTTTTTCGGTCTATCATGATTTAAAATCATGCAGCACTCTTGAATATTAATCCAACTGAAGGAATACTTACACAAACACTTTGGTAATGATCTATCCCATAAACCATTAGCTTTACAGGTCAGTGCAGACGAGCCCAACAGATAAAAGCCCTTCTTGCAATGGTATGCCACACTTGTTCCGTATTTGAAACTCTCGGGATAATTCTGCTGTCCATGCCGAATTGCATTTTCCACAAAGCCAGGATCAGAACAGTTCACCACTGTAAGACAAACAGTATTCATATCAGGTATGTTGACTCTAAGTAAGGATAAGCACTAAAAAGCATAAAGTAATTTTTTCAAGCAGCAGTTAAAAACATAAAAAATTATGGGTTTTATCATAGCTGTTTAGGTTTTATATAACGTATATCTACCCTCCCCAATAATTTCTTTTATACTTTCTTGTGAACATAGAATCATAGAATCATTTAATAGTTTGAGTTGGAAGGGACCTTTGCAAACACCAAATTTTGCTCTCTACTAATCTGAAGACTATCTGTAAAGTTACAAATGCCTACTCCACCTCTCACCTGTCTTCAATCTTAAGATAATGGTATAAGTAAATAATAACAATAAAAAAATACTTAAAATATTATTAGTATAATAAATTAATGATCATGGAAAAATGACAGGAACATACCTTTTGAGTATATCATCTATTTAAAATCAATTTTCATGAAAAACAGATCAATGGAGAAGAATATCAGATAACATTATCATTTTAGGTGTAAGACATACAGAGTCACTAATGATCAGTTTTTTACTCCTGAATAATATTTTTTAAAAAAATGTTAATTTTTATCATTTATAAAATTTAAATTTGTTGATTAGATAATAGACTAGATCAAGGTAGTTTTTGCAAATGTTCATTCATTCAGCTAAAAAGTGTCATGATTTACAATAAATATTAATATCCTAAAACTTTATTTGTTGAAAAATCCAGTTATAATTAGTTTTATTTTCCTTTGTCTTTTAAAATCACGATCTTAAAAGTATTAAATTGTCATGATTTCAACCTCATAATTCTAGACAAACATACCTAGGTCTACCTAGTTCTGAAGAACACCCCATATGAATCCAAAGTTTTCCTTCATAAAAATTATTTTAGAAGTAATATTTGGGGTTGTTTTGAGAAGGAGAACCTTCTTTGGCATGAAGAAACTCATTTTTGATCTATTGATTGTTATTAAAAACATTGAAGATACAATTGCACAGAAAAGTCAAATACATTTAAAAAGCACTAGGTACTGCAATGAGGCACACAAAGCACTAGTAAGGCATTATTTAGACTGATGATTTT